AGGGCCACCAGTGACGTGGCTGCTTTAGCCAGCTCCCAGATGGCTGCTTTCAGGAAGGTTTCCATAGTGACCGGAGGCTGGAAAAACCTGCCTGCCCAGATTAGCAATATCACTTCTGGCTCCTGTTGGGAACTTGGGGACTAGCGGGTAGTTGGTAAGAGAAATGGCGTATACGTATTATTGCAGAGACTCATTTAAATATATCCAGATCTGACCGTTTCTCACTGTCCCCATGGTAGCAAAGCCAACATCATTCCTACTGCATCACCCCCTCCTGCCCTGCAGTCTTCTCTGTGTAGCAGCCAGAGAGCGCTTTGAAATCCTAAATCAGATTCAGGTTTGCCTCTGCTCAGAGTGAGGAGAATAAGCTCCAGCTCTGTACTGCACCGCAAGGCCCTCCTGAGCCGGCCGCGCCCCCGCTGTGCTTCCTCCTCCTCCCCAGCCGCTCCCCAGCCCCTTTGCCCCGCAGCTGCTGCACCTGCCACATCTGTTCCTGCCTTGTCTTCACCCTGCTGCTCCTGCTACCTGGATCTGCCTTCCCTCAGGAGCCATAGGACTTGGTCTCCCACTTCCTCTTGTTTGGGTCTTTGCTTGGATGTCACCTTATCCTCAAAGAGCTTTTGCTGACCACGTTAGCTACATGGCTCCTCTCTTCTGACTCTCCTATACCTTTATCCTGCTTTATTTTCCTCAGAGTACTGTAGTTAGCACCATCTAACACAGCTGTTTTTATGTTCGTTGTCTGATTCTCTGCTGTGATGTAATGGCTGGGACTTTGGTTTTTCACTGTTGCGTCTCAACCCTTAGAACCATGTGTGGTTCATGGTGGTGCTCAGTAACTGTTGAGTGAATGAATGAGGTGGGCAAGCCAAGGCTGGGAAAGGGAGCTGCGGACTGAGAACTGTCTTCCCAGCCCCCTCAGTCCTCCACAGCCAGAGACAGCTCCTTTCTTCCACTTAGAGACGACGCCTGCTTCCTCCACACTTTCTCTGCCCTTCTGGAAGAAAGCCAAATCACTACCTCTGAGGCGTCAGTGATGAGGAGTCTTTCTGATGATCCCAGCTGGCACGTGTTACATTGAACCATACGAAGTTGTCGTTTTTACAGGTTGTAATGGCTGGAAAGCAGCAGTATCATATGGCCTTGAGTAACCTCAGTGTAGAGGGCCCAGATATTCACAGTAACTTTCTGGAAATTATGAGGACTCCTGCTAATTGCCTGATGCTTCTGGAGCACTTGCTGTGTGTCAGTGTGCTGGGGCTCTTTGCATTCTCACTTCATCCTCATAACCACTGTGAGACATAGGTACCGTTACTCCAGTCTATGGAGAAGAAAACTGAGACTCAAAGAGGTGACGTGAACGTGCCCAAGGTTATAAGAAGGGGGGAGCCGCAGAGCCGGGATTTGAGTCCACATCTGTCCAACTGGAGAGGTCTTCACTTTAACCGCAGCGCCGTCCGGCCTCTGCACAAAGGTGGCAGAGGATGAGCTTGGAAGCCTTGCCCTCCTAACGCTGGTGCCACAGCAGTATGCCTGCCCAGGGCTCCAGGCCGGCGGTGGCCTGGCTGAGCACGGGGTTATTTCCTGGCACTGTCTAGCTGGTGGCCAAGTGACATCATCTCCCCAGGTGGGGGTGGGGGGAGCATGGTGGTGCAGGGGGCACAGTTATCAGGGTCCGTTTGGGAGACTGTATGTGCATCTCTTCTAGGCTTGTTTTCTCATGTGTGAGGACCAGAGAAAGTCTGCTTCAGAATATGCTGTGAGGACTGAGTGATGACATGATTTTAAGAACTTCTAGCTCAGTCCCTTTAATGTTAAAATACTTGCTCCATCCAGCACAGAATTCTGATTCAAACCAGGCCCGCATACCTGTTATACGGAAGGAAGACGCTACGTTTTCCTCACGCAGAGCAGACAGACAAGTCTAGGATGGCTGGCCCATTAGGGAAGCGGATTCTGCCATCTGTTTCTCAGCAAGGCTTGTCTGGAAGCAAGAGGGCTCCCTCCCAGCTGGGCATCAAAGCCTCCACGATGGGCATTTAGCCCAAATGTGGCCCAGTCAGGGTGTGTCTGGGGGCAGGAGTGGAGGTTGGTGACCCAGCTGAGCTGCCCTTGGGACAAGCTGTTTGGCCCCAGATTTGCAAGTGTGTCTTTAAAGAGAACTGGGATTTTTTTCACGTGCCCATTTTTCAACATTCGCTGGAGTAAAGGGTCCATAGGGTAATGTTTTCTCACAGTGCCCTCGAAGTGGTCCTTTGATTTTCCTTTTTTGCTTCTTTCTCACTCACCTGACCCTTCTCATTTACCCCGAATTCCCAACAGCAGACAGCACGCAGGAGACGAGGCCAACAGCTGTCACCTCTGAGCTCCCGTCACTTGAGAAACGGCGAAAGGAGGTCTAGGCCTAGGTGAATATGATTCCAAAACTTGCCCTAAAATATTTCACCCACATCTCCATTGTTACCTTCCATTTATGTAACCTTCCTTTCATTTCACGGTTAGAAGTAAAAGGCTTCATATTCAGAAAAAGGCTGAGAAAGCCACCCCTCAAACTGCATTTCTGTTGAAGCTCGAGTGGGTGATAATAGGCTCTTGCCTGTTCTATTAGGAGCAGGCTAGAAATAGAAACTCAGAGGGAGCCCAAGTGCTGACGCCTCAGTTGATGGCTTATTTAATTTTTTTAAATTGAGGTATAATTCACATGCTACAAAGTTCGCTATTTTTAAAGTGTATAATTCAGTGGTTTGAGTATTTCATACTGTTGTGTAACTATCACCTCTCCAATTCCAGAACACGTTTCATCTCTGCAAATAGAAACCCTGTACCCATTAGCAGTCACTGTGCCTTCCCTCTCCTCCAGCCTTGGCAGTCACTAATCTACTTCCGTGTCCAGGGGTTTGCCTCTTCTGGACATTTCATTTAAATAGAGTCATACAATATTCATCCTCTTGTGACTGGCATCTTTAACTGAGCATAATATTCTTAAGGTTCACCTGTGTTATTAGCACTTCATTCCTTTTTATAGCTGAATAATATTCCATTGTATGGATGTTCTATGCATTTCCTATATCCCTTCATCGGTTCTTGGACATATGGGTTGTTTCTGCTTTTTTGGTTATGAGGAGTAATTCTGCTGTGAACATCCAAGTACAAGTTTCTGTGTGGACTCTTGCTTTCATTTCTTGTGGGTAAATAACTAGGAGCAGAATTCCCGGGTCATGTGGTAACTCTGTGTTTCACCTTTTGAGGAGCTGTCAGAGTACTTTCCAGAGCAGCCCACCATTTTTACATTCCCACTAGTAGAGTATGAGGCTTGCAATTTCACCACATTCTCACCAACACTAACTGTTGTCTTTTTTTTTTTTTTTGATGTTGAAGATAAGTTTTAATGGCAGGTGCCTACTGCTGTAGGACAAACAGGAGCTATGTGCCTAAGTGTATTCATCCCATATGGCCAAACACTGCTCTTAAGACTTTTGTCTCCAGGGACTTCCCTGGTGGCACAGTGGTTAAGACTCTGCCTACCAATGCAGGGGACACGGGTTTGAGCCCTGGTCCGGGAAGATCCCACATGTCATGGAGCAACTAAGCCTGTGCGCCACAACTACTGAGCCTGCGCTCTAGAGCCCATGAGCCACAACTACTGAGCCCATGTGCCACAACTGCTGAAGCCCGCGTGCCTAGAGCCCATGCTCTGCAACAAGAGAAGCCACTGCAATGAGAAGCCCGTGCACTGCAACAAAGAAAGAGTAGCCCCCACTCACCACAACTAGAGAAAAGCCCACGGGCAGCGACGAAGACACAATGCAGCCAAAAATATATAAATAAAATAAAATATTTTTTAAAAAAAGACTTTTGTCTCCAGTAGGCCATCCTCGTGGGTGTGAAGTGGAATCTCATTGTGGTTTTGCTGTGCATTTCCCTGATGACTAATGATGTCAAGCATCTTTTTACCTGCTCATTGGCCATTTACGTCTCTTCTTTGGAGAAATGTCTGTTTAAATCTTATGCCCATTTTTATTTATTTTTTGTTAATATTTATTTATTTATTTTTGCTGCTCTGGATCTTAGTTGTGGCACCTGGGATCTTTTAGCTGTGGCATGAGGACTTCTTAGTTGTGGCATGTGGGGTCTAGTTCCCTGACCAGGGATTGAACCTGGGCCCCCTGCATTGGGAGTGTGGGGTCTTAACCACTGGACCACCAGGGAAGTCCCCTTATGCCCATTTTTAAATTGGGCTGTTTGTCTTTTTAATTGTTGAGTCATTTTTGAAGAGGACAAAAAAAGGAGGAAGGCAGGGGTTAAACAGTGACGTGAGAAACTTAGATGGCAATTTCCTACTTTCCCAGCTGTGAGGTGCTGGAAGGTGTGGTCGAGCAGACTGGTGGATGAAGTGGAAACGTCAGTGTCGGGTGGGTGGAGGTACTGACTCAGAAGTGTTGTACCTAAGTGATTCCTCAAAAATTCTGGCTCAGGAACCTATTCATGGAAGTTTTGGTGGTGGCTGGTTTTTGTTTTCTTTTTTAAGAAACATTGGCCTGAGTACAGAGCATCAGGAAGTCTGTCTGTGTGATCCTCTCCTTCCTTAGTAGTGTGGGACCTGAGCAGACCCCTCCTCTTGGCTCACAGGGCTGTTGGAGAACAGTAGTCTTGTAGCTTCTTCAAAGCGTGTGCTCTCGGATGAAGTGTTCAGAATAGGAGGCTTTTTCTTTCAAGCGTGACTTTTCCTTCCCTGTCAAACAGTGGCCAGGATTTACCTCCCCACCACCTCTGGGCCAGCAAATCAGAGTTGGGTAGAAAGGACTCCCAGGGGAGGGGCTGCGTTAAATGACTTTCCTCTTTGCACTCCTACCAGGGCAAATGTTTCTGGACCAGATGAAGCTTGAGGAGCCTTCCAGCTGTAAGATACTAGGATAGGAAACTCCTGAGTCTGGATCTACAGAAGACTTGCCTGTCCTCTCCACAAAATGTCAGGTGGGAGGCAGGGGCCTGGCTTGGACATGGGGCGACAGGCTCGCCAGGGGGAAGGGGGTCTTATCCAGGAGGACACCCCGGTGGGAGGGAAGCAGGCTTGTTTTCCACAGACCTTCGAGGGTTACGTGGACTGCCCAGGTAATGGAGGAAGGAGGAAGTCTTCTGATGGGCATCTGGGAGAGTTACTGCAACTCTCTCCTCAGTTTACCTGAATCCCTGTCCTCTCCTTCCAGCCTGAAAATCCTCACTCACAGGTGGAGGGAGAGGCAAGGAGATGAAGTCTGGTTATGTCTTGTAACACACTGCTGGCTTCCTTTTCCTTCTGTCAGAAAGTTGCACTTTGCTAGGTTTCTCCCCTCCCCCATCCATCCCACTCTAGATGGTCCAGTCCTTTAATGCTGGCACTCTGGGGGGTGGGACGGTGGGGAAAGGAAGGGAGAGGGGGTGTCTCAACTTGAATTTTCCGCCTGAATGTTCTGCCTTTTCTTCATCTCCTATTCCTGGTCCTCTTTGGTTTTAGGAAGCCACATACCTTCTGCCAGTGGCCCCTTCTCAGCCCTGACTCCTAGCATGTGGCCCCAGGAGATCCTGGCCAAGTACACACAGGTACAGCAGTCAGCCAGTGGGCGCCAGTGGCTCTGCTCCCACGCTGGGGCACCCAAGGGGACCCACCGCCCGCTGCAGGCATCCTGGGAGGGGGGCCACTCCCCCGTATTCACACAAGGTCAGAAGCCCCCATCAGAGACAGCATCTTAGCTCCACGTTCCCTGTGAATCGGACATTAGGTTGGGGAACAAGTATGGCACTCTGCTCTCAGTATTATGGGGACACAGAAATACATAAAACGTGTTTCTTGCCTTGATTTTTATCTTTGACCTCTGAGGAAAACAAGGAAAACTCTGGGAGAATTCAAGAGGGTCGTGGCCCCCGGAGCTGAGTGATGACCACAGAAGCTTCAGGGAACGGTGGCCTTTGGTCTGAGTCAGGGAGGCTAGGAGGCACGGCAGCAGCGCGCGCAGCCCCAGGCTGACTCTTCCTACTCCTGGGTCTAGAAGGAAGAGGCAGTGGAGCAACCAGAGTTCTGCTATGATGAGTTCGGCTTCCGCGTGGACAAGGAAGGTGAGATAGCCCCTTGGGTGTAATCTCTCCACTGTCCTTGGGGAGGACCAGCTCCAGTGACTGATTACACTGCTGTGGCCTTGGGCTCTAGATGTTTTACCCACATGTTCCAGAATCAGGGACAGAGCCACATCCGACGGTGATGCTGTTATAAGTATCTGGAATCCTTTGGGTTTTTTTTTTTTTTGCCACGTTGCGCAGCTTGCGGGATCTTAGTTCTCCAACCAGGGATTGAACCCACGCCCTTGGCAGTGAAAGCACTGACTCCTAACCACTGGACCACCAGGGAATTCCCTGGGTTTTTTTTTTTTTAAGATTAATTTTATTAATCTTCATATGATAATAAAAGCAATAATGTTCATTATAGAGAATTTTAAAAGTACATCAAGATATAAAGATTAAAACAAATGAACCCATTATCCTACAACCTGAAGATAACTGCTGACGTTTCTATGTATTTTTTTCCTGGCTTTGTGTGTATCCATATGTAACTTTTCATAACTAAGATGACATCATATACATGTTTTTATATTGCTCTTATATCTCTTAAAACTATTCCATGAGCATTTTTTCTGTCAGTTAAGACCTCTTTAAAGCATGTTTTTCAGTGGCTGTGTGCTGTCCTTGTAATTATAATGGATTTGTCATTTTTTTGTGTGTTTTTTAAATAATTTATTTATTTTTGGCTGCATTGGGTCTTCGTTGCTGTACGAGGGCTTCTCATTGCGGTGGCTTCTCTTGTTGCAGAGCACGGGCTCTAGGCGCGCGGGCTTCAGTAGTTGTGGCGCACGGGCTTAGTTACTCCGCGGCATGTGGGATCTTCCTAGACCAGTGTTCGAACCCATGTCCCCTGCATTGGCAGGCGGATTCTTAATCACTGCGCCACCAGGGAAGTCACTGTCATCATATTTTCATAACCATTCTTCTGTAAGTGGGCCCCTAGGCCATTTCCATTATTTTCTACTGTAAATACACCTGCTGTTGCCGAGTGGGCTGCTGGAAAGCTGTCTGCCAGAACCCAGGGTAGCCTGTCACCAACCAGACGTTAACTGACTGACTGAGACCATTCACCTTCAGGTCACTCATACTCCCAGTTCTGATGAGTCTTCCTTGTTCTCTAGTTTGCAGGCAGACATTCAGAAGGTAAAAGCTGGGCCTGAGAGGAGCACAGGGAACTTTCTAGTATGATGGAAGTATTCTATATCTTGATGGGGACAGCATTTAGACTGTCAGTGTTTAGACATTTGTTTATTGATACTCAACAAAGTGTACACTTAAAGTTTGTGCACTTTATGTGAATTCACTGAAGGTGAAGTTTCAGAAACTGGAGGCCAAGGGCATGGCTTTAGGATGAGTAAGGATGAGGCTCTGTGGGGTGGCCCTGCCCCACTGTGCATCCCCAGTGCCTCAAACAGGTGGTCTTGGCCTCATGAGTTCCCAGGCAGTAAACAAACAAACAGATGTATGCTGGGGGCAAGAAGAGGCTGGGAGAGGAGGGGAGGTGGGAGACGTTTGAACAGAGACTGGGAGGAAGTGAGGCAGTGAGTGTGGCCAGGAAGGGGAATAACAGGTGCAGAGGCCCTGAGGCGAGTGGATTTGTGGGAAAGAGCTGGGGTGGAGGGAGCAGGGCGCGAGGAGGCGGGGTCGGGCGCTGTGTCTGCGTGTGACAGGCTCTGAGCTGTGACAGGGCTGTGAGCAGCCTCTAGGGAGGCAGGGCAGGACTAGGTGGCCGCTGAGGAGGCTGTCGCTCTAACCCAGACGAGAGATGGCGGCTTGGACCAGGGCCGTAGTCGGAGGGGCAAGAGGGCTGAGGTTCTGCCTGTGCTCTGAAGCGGAGGAGCCTGAGCACCTGGTGGGGGGTGGCCTCGCGGATCTGGTTTGGGGGTGAAAGCAAAGAGTTCGCACTGGCTGTTCGGGGTGCTATGGGAGATGGTTGGAAAGGTGGCCCTGGCTTTCGGCGGTGAGATCCGGGCGGCGGACCCAGAGCCCAGTCCTCTGCTCTCGGGGCACAGGCGGCGGGGGTCGCTCTCCCTCACAGGCGCAGACGGCGCCCCCCGCCCAGGCCAGCTGCTGGAGGACCCCCCCCAGAGGCTGCGCTGGCAGGCCCACCTGGAGTTCACCCACAACCACGACGTGGGAGACCTCACCTGGGACAAGATTGCCATCTCCCTGCCTCGCTCGGAGAAGCTCCGCTCCCTGGTGCTGGCCGGGGTGCCCCACAGCATGAGGCCGCAGGTGAGGCGGGCTCGCGGGGGCCACGGGCTTCAGGGGCCCCCTGGGGACTGAGCGCCGTGTCCCCCATCAGCTGTGGATGCGGCTCTCCGGGGCCCTGCAGAAGAAGAGGAACTCCGAGCTGTCCTACCGAGAGATCGTGAAGGACAGCGCCAACGATGAGACCGTTGCTGCCAAGCAGGTGGGGCCCTGTTTGGGGGGGCGGGGGGGTCGGGGGAAGCCCTTCGGGGGGGCCCGGGAGAGCTCGGCAGCCGTGAGGCAGCCCTGGGCAGTCCTTGCACCTACAGACGTGTGCCTGGAGCCAGCCAGTTTCCTCCTGGACCCTCTGTGGGGGGCGTGGGGGGAGGGATTGTCAAAAAGGCCACCGGACCGGTGCACATTAGGATCCCCTGGAGATTTTTTTTTATGTTTTATTTATTTACTCTTTTTTTTTTTTTGGCTGTATCGGGACTTTGTTACAGCACATGGGATCTTTCGTTGCGGCACGCGGGCTTTTCTCTAGTTGGGGCGTGCGGGCTGAGTTGCCCCGCGGCACGTAGGATCTTAGTTCCCCGAACAGGGATCAAACCCGCATCCCCTGAATTAGAAGGTGGATTCTTAACCACTGGACCACCAGGAAAGTCCCTCCCCTGGAGATTTTAAATACAGGTTTCCAGGCTTCACTCCAGAGATTCTCATTCCACAGCTGTGGCTTGAGGCCCAGGAATCTGTAATTTTATGTTTAGAGGCTCCCCCGTGGATCACGTGGTACCAGCTGCACACCAGCTGGGCTCTAATCCTGAAGGGAGGAGGGTGACTTTGACCCGGAGCCTGAGGAATCCCCATTCCTGGGAGAGAAGCCAACCTGAGGTTTGCCCCACACAGGGGCCCCCGGCCTCCTTCAGGGGGGTCTCGGTGTCAGGGGTGCAGAGGCTGTGCGCCTGCTCTGCACCTCACAGGCTCTTGTGGGCGGGCTGCCAGCAGATTGAGAAGGACTTGCTCCGCACCATGCCCAGCAACGCCTGCTTTGCCCACATGAGCAGCGTGGGCGTACCCCGCCTGCGCAGGGTGCTCCGAGCACTGGCCTGGCTCTACCCGGAGATCGGCTACTGCCAGGGCACGGGCATGGTGAGCACAGCCCGGGACGGGGGCAGTAGGCCTGGAGGAGAGGGTGGAGGGGGGGTTCCCAAGCAGGGAGGGGTTCCAAGCCTGAGGCCGGCATGCGGTCTGTGGGGTGACCCCCCCCACCCCCCAGAGGCCGCCTTGTTCTAACTGGTTACCCCCGAGGGGGTGCCTCTTCTAATTTGCATGGACACCTGGGCAGAGGCCCCTTACCACCCTGCCCCGGCCAGGTGGCTGCCTGCCTCCTGCTGTTCCTGGAGGAGGAGGATGCCTTCTGGATGATGTGCGCCATCATCGAGGACCTGCTCCCCGCCTCCTACTTCAGCACCACCCTGCTGGGCGTCCAGACCGACCAGCGGCTCCTGCGCCACCTCATCGTCCAGTACCTGCCTCGGCTGGACAGGCTGCTCCAGGAGCATGACATCGGTAAGGGCCCGAGCCCACCGCTGCTCTGGGGTCAAGGGGTCCCGAGCTCTGGCTCAGGTGCTGCAGATCTGAGGCCTCAGGACCCAGCTGAGGACGGGGCAGTGCTGGCAGCTCAGGAGGAGGAAAGGAGCTCGTCTGACGACGGCCACTCATGCTGCTGCCTTCCTTGCTCTCTTGTTCTCCGATGGTCCCTGACGCCCCGCCTCCTCTCTGCCGTGGAGCAAGCATAGCCTCCTGCTGCTTTGGGAGATTCGCTCCACCTCCCCCACGGCTTGCGTGCCTGGGGGATGCCCCTCTTCTCTGGCTGTTCTGCACCGGCCGTCCCTGGTGCCAGCTTCAGGGCCTCTGGTTTGTGTCCACAGAGCTGTCCCTCATCACACTGCACTGGTTCCTCACGGCCTTCGCCAGCGTTGTGCACATCAGGCTGCTGCTGCGCCTCTGGGACCTGTTTTTCTACGAGGGCTCCCTGGTGCTGTTCCAGACCACGCTGGGCATGCTGTGCCTCAAGGTGAAGGCCGGAGCCCCGGGTGCCAGATGCAGCTGTCCTGGCAGCCGCCTCGGGGTCTGCCCACGCTCCACCTCTGCTCCAGTCCGGGCTTCAGTGTCCTGTGGCCTGAGCCCTGGCCCCTCTGGAGATGCCCCGGGGAGGAGGGAGGTCTCCCTCCTGGGGCAGGGCCTTCGTGTGCTCAGCTGGACCATCCAGGGAAGTCACACGTACCTGAGGCCAGTGGTTGGGGTCAGCCAGGCAGTGACAGCACCCCCCTCGCATGGCCCAGGAGGAGGAGCTGATCCAGTCAGAGAATTCGGCCTCCATCTTCAACACGCTGTCGGACATACCGTCGCAGATGGAGGATGCGGACCTGCTGCTGGGGGAGGCCATGCGGCTGGCGGGCTCCCTCACTGACGTGGCCGTGGAGAGCCAGCGCCGCAAGCACCTGGCCTACCTCCTAGCAGACCAAGGCCAGCTCCTGGGCACCAGCCCCACCGCCAGCCTCTCTCAGGTGGGCCCATGAGGGAGGAGGCCCCAGCTCACCACCGTCCCCTCCATCTCAGCACCCAGGGCCCGGCCTGGCCAGACCACAGCTGTACAGGGACCCGCCGCCTTGTCCTTGGCACGTCTCTGCCGGGACCCGCCTGGACATACCCAGATTTGAACTGACGATATGTTTCTGAGCCTCAGAGCCGGCCTCAGAGGCCATGTCAGAGGAGGCGGCACGAGTGAGATGCCGGCGGGGCCTCTGCACGGAAGGGCTCTGCTCACTGTCCCCAGTGCTGGGGCGCCATCCACTTGGCTGGGCGCCGGGTGCCTGGGGCTGCCGCCGACCTGATTTCCCCACCTGCAGGTTGTCCGCCGCAGGACCCAGCGGAGGAAGTCTGCCATCACGTCGCTGCTCTTTGGTGAGAACTCCGCATGGGTGGCCAAGCGCTGGGCTGGGCTCCGAGGGCGGGGCGTCTGGCCTCACACCCCGTGTGGACTCTGCGCTTCCTTGGAGTCGGGACAGGGCCGGGCTGGGCCACGGCCACCATTGCTCTCTGGGCCTCGCAGGGGAGGACGACCTGGAGGCGCTCAAGGCCAAGAATATCAAGCAGACGGAGCTGGTGGCCGACCTCCGGGAAGCCATCCTGCGCGTGGCACGCCACTTCCAGTGCACAGACCCCAAGAACTGCAGTGTGGTGAGCCTCAGGTCCCGGGCTGTGCACACAGCTCAAGCAGGGGCCCTAGCCCTGTTCTGAGCGCCCCCTTGCGGTGGGCTTTTCTGCTCCCCCCCCCCAGCAGGAGCTGAGCCCAGACTACAGCATGGAGAGCCACCAGAGGGACCACGAGAACTACGTGGCCCCCCCCCCCCCCCAGCAGGAGCTGAGCCCAGACTACAGCATGGAGAGCCACCAGAGGGACCACGAGAACTACGTGGCATGCTTGCGTGGCCACCCGCGCCGGGCCAAGGCCCTGCTGGACTTTGAGCGCCACGATGATGATGAACTGGGCTTCCGCAAGAACGACATCATTACGGTGAGCGGGGAGCGGACGCCTTCGTCCCTGCCAGCCCCGAGGCCATGGGTGGGTTGGCCGAGCCCTCACGTGGCCAGAGCTGCCAGCAAAGGATGAAGTCAGGCAACTGGAGCTGTATTTCCTGTGCTTTTCCTCCGCAGATCATCTCCCAGAAGGACGAGCACTGCTGGGTGGGGGAGCTGAATGGCCTGAGAGGTGAGGCCTCCGTCTGGTCCTGTGTTGCACTGGGTGAGGGGAAGGCAGGCCTGGCTGGGAAGCTGCAGCGGGCACTGGGTTTGCTCAGACAGTGGAGTCCATCACTCCCGTGTGTCATCACCGTTGCGGGGAGCATCAGGACACCAGGCCGCCCGCTCCTCACGGGCCCTGCTTCTCCCACAGGCTGGTTTCCAGCAAAGTTCGTGGAAGTCCTGGATGAGCGGAGCAAGGAGGTGAGGAGGGTACGCACGAGGCAGGCCCATCCCCGGAGCCGCTGCTGCCTCTGCCCCGCGAGGCCTGCACCCTCCTTGCAGGGCCTGTGTCCCGAGCGCGTGTGGCTTGTGGCAGTGGCTGTGAGGACAGGGAGGGGCTGGCTGGGGCGTCTCAGACCCCGTCCTCCACCCTCAGTACTCCATCGCGGGGGACGATTCTGTGACAGAGGGGGTCACAGACCTCGTGCGAGGGACCCTCTGCCCGGCCCTGAAGGCCCTGTTTGAACACGGACTGAAGAAGCCTTCCCTGCTTGGGGGCGCCTGCCACCCCTGGCTGTTCATCGAGGAGGTGAGTCAGTCCTTTTCCCTGAGCCCCTGTGCCCTGCGGAGCTGGTGGCAGCTGGTGGGGTGGTGACCTGAACTCAGTTGGACTCTGTGGCTTTGACCTGGTACCTACCCCGTTGCCCGACGCTCACCCTGCCCCCCAGGCGGCGGGCCGGGAGGTCGAGAGAGACTTCGACTCGGTGTATTCGCGCCTAGTGCTGTGTAAGACGTACAGGTAACCCTGCCCTGGCCTCCGTGTCCTCCTGGCAGGGTCATCCTCCTGGTAGGGTCACCCGGCAGCCTGGGGCTGGGGGTGGAGGAGGGAGAGGGAGCGGTCCGAGCCCACCAGGGCAGCGCTGGCAGCTTTGGTCCCCCCTTTCAGGTTGGATGAAGATGGCAAAGTCCTGACCCCAGAGGAGCTGCTCTACCGGGTAAGCAGGGCCGTGGGCGGGACAGGCCTTCAGGGTTGGGAGCTGGGGACACCTGAGTGACAGCTATGCCCTCCAGGCTGTGCAGTCCGTTAACGTGACCCATGACGCTGCACACGCACAAATGGACGTCAAGCTCCGCTCCCTCATCTGCGTGGGGCTCAAGTGAGTGTCTGCACCGCTGCTGAGTGGGGGCCGCGGGGGGACCTGAGCTGGGCAGACGGAGGTGGAAGACGGCCAGGGTGGCTCCCGAAGCCCTTCTTCCAGCGTGAGACCAGCCAGTGCTTGGGGCGGGGGGCTGGCGCTCGGGTTTTGGGGAGCACAGATTTCAGCAAGGTGAGCAGTGAAGGCTCACCAGGGACGCGGCTGCAAGCTAGGGAGGGGCGCCTGCCGGAGGGGTTGCAGGCTTGTGCGAGGCTCGGACCTTGGCCAGGCTGAGCGCGGTGTTTCTGCACTTGCCACACAGCAGAGGGGCGGCCTCCAGGCTGCTCTGAACTGGAGAGGCGGGGAAGCGGTCCCCGAGACCTGCTCGGAACACGCCGTGGGCCCACCGGCCAGCGAGCGGGCTTGTCGCTCCCCAGCTGACCGGTGGGACTGAGGCCCCAGGCCCCAGGCCCCGGGGTGGCGGTGGCCGAGTCTCAGACACAGGACCGAGGGGAGTGGGGGCCACAGGGACCTTGGGCCCCTGGACATGTCTCCCCGTGCGGAGAGACCAGAGTGGCTGAGAGGGAAGGAGGCGGGGCCACCTGCATAGGCCACCAAGCAGAGGGAGGTTGGGGGTGCGGGTGGAGGGGCCCTGGAGCGGGGGTGGCCCAGTGCCGTGGGTGCGGGAGGGCAGGACCCTCTGCCTGGAGCCGCCCCCACCCCCGCCCTGCCTGTGGCCAGTGAGCAGGTCCTGCACCTGTGGCTGGAGGTGCTCTGCTCCAGCCTGCCCACCGTGGAGAAGTGGTACCAGCCCTGGTCCTTCCTGCGCAGCCCCGGCTGGGTCCAGATCAAGTGCGAGCTGCGGTGAGGAGGCCCGGCCCCGGGGGTGGGCCGAGGGGCGGGCCGAGCCCCCTGCGGCAGCTGACAGCCTCCCTCTCCCTCTGCCTCCAGGGTCCTTTGCTGCTTTGCCTTTAGCCTCTCCCAAGACTGGGAACTTCCTGCCAAGAGAGAGGTGGGTGGTCGGGTCCTGCCTTCCCCAGGAGGGATGGCGGGTGGGGCAGTGTGGGTGTTCGTGCTGGCGGGTCCCCCCCCAGATGTGTGGGCGCTGAGGCAGGCCTCGTGGGGGCCCTGAGTGCCGGTGTCGCCTGTGAGGACCACTCTGGGCCCTTGGGCCCTGCGGCCGTGACAGGAGGGCTGTTCCTGTGCAGGAGGAGAAGCAGCCCCTGAAGGAGGGCGTCCAGGACATGCTGGTGAAGCACCACCTTTTCAGCTGGGACATAGACGGGTGATGCTCTTCCTCCAGGGACCCCGTCACACCCAGGCCTCCCCAGACCCCTTGGCTACCAGGCCCCTTCCTCAAGCAAGAAGAGAACAGCCCGGCACTGGCCAGCCTCGGGCCCACCCTACGCTGCAAGGTCGAGGGGAGGACACACTCGGGACCTCTGGCTGGGCACCGTGGTAGGGAGTCCGGGGACACCGCCTTGGGTGCCAGAGTGCTGGTGGAGGGCAGCAGGTGGCATTGGCAGAAGGTGGGGGCCCGGCTCAGCCTGTTAACTCTCAGCGCCCGGGGGAGGGCTCTGCCCTGCCAGGGTCTTTACCAGAGGCCCCAGGCCCCAGGCTCGCTGTGCTGAACAAAAACCTTGGGAGGTGGAGCGCCACCTCTGTTCTGTCAGGTTTTGCTCAGGAGGGGGGTGGGGAGGCTGAAGGCTCCCCCGGCCTCTTTGATTTACAAATAAACTGTCTTTGAGACGAACCTCTCCCACCTTCTGTCTAGCCAGCTGCGCGTGGTCCCGAATGCACAGCCAGGGATGGGAGGTGGCCTCATGGGGAGGTGCAGTCAGGGTCACAGCGCGGCACCCAGATGCTAGGACACCGCCACGCCACCCCGCTCTTC